TTCATCACTGTATGAACACGAGTTTTATACTTTATTGTTTTATTGAACAAAAGTGAGAAAGACCAAACGTTCAATATAAATACAAAGAATACTTTTTGATCAATTACACACAATATAAATTATGACCTCAAAGAAATATATGAATACTTGATACGATAATGTAAGTACCATAACATTATTCAATTAATTTCTGTCATGTTGCATGACGCATAACTTGACTGCCATAATTTTACAATCATAAATTTAGCAAACAATAATCACAGATCCAAACTTTATTGACAGACTGAAATTGAAATTCATTGACAAACATGATAACACTGAAATATTTACGTTTCATTGCTTTTTTTTCTATATCGCACTATAGCAACTGCCAAATTCACTTTTATCATAAAACATGCATTGCAAACATGCCAAAGAACATCAAACAATATTTATACTGTGCCTCCACGCACCATTACACTTTGGACTGCAAAAAGAAAAACATTGCAAATGGGGATCAATCGACGAACACACATTTCTGTATTCATAGCTATTGAAACTTGTTTGTATATGTACATTGACACACAATACAATTTGAAAGAACAGGTTACCAAAGTGAATACAAATTGAAATAACGAATACTTGTCAGTTTACAAAGCCACAGAAGTGGGAAATAAAACCAGCAGGGGAGGAAAGAAAGGGGAAAAATAGTAGCAAAGCAGGAACAAGCGAATTTAAAAAAAAAAGAAAAAAAAACAAAAAGAAAAGGGAAGAGACCGAGAGAAGGTAGAAACAAACGAAGTCGCACTCACCGGGAAAGCACGTATGCGCATTTTGCTTTCTTTCTTAAGCATAGCACTGCTCTTCATCATGTCGAATTTTCCTGGCTGAACGACAGACTATCTTTTTCTTTCCTTTTTCTTTTTCTCTCTTTTCTCTTCTTTTCAGAAATGCTCTCTTCTCGTTGTCGCGACAGTGCCACACCGTGTGCACATTGACACCAGTTAAACGCACGGGAGCATTCACTTCTCGCACAAGGTGTAGGAATAGCCGACGATCGGCTGTCGCGTGAAAATACGATCACTCATCCACGTTCACGTTTGTGCCGATGGGTACCGAACGATTATTACGTTGTTATCATGAACATTTGGCTGAGAAAGGAAACGAAAAAAGAAAAGAAAAGTGTGTGTGTACGCGATGTGTCGTGATGGACGGAGGGACGGGGAGGGAGGGAGGATATGAGAGAGAAAAAACGAGAGATTCGGAGAAAGACAAAAACGACAGAGACGAGAGATAAAGAGGGGGGGGGCAAGGAGGAGAAAGATAAAGAATGCTCTCTTTTTTTTCACCCGGCAGATGAAAACGGAGGGGTGGTTAGGTAAAGGAGAGGAGGGAGAGAAGAAAAGATGAGGTACGTGAGGGTTGAAACGGAGGAGGAAAATCGAAAGAAAGGCGACGACGACGGGTGAAAATGCGGACAACAGAGAGATGGGAACGAAAGTGAAACGAAGAAAAAGAAAGAAAAGGGAGAAAAAAAATATGTATATTTATATGTATGTGTGTGTGCCTATGTGTATATGTGTGTGTGTTCACGCACCCTGTCACGGAAGGTGACGAATCTGTCAAATCAACGATAATGCGCACGAACTTTTCGTTGAACGTTCTCAGTGCATTACAACGTGATCATCGATACCGCTTGCAGCGTCTCTCGAGACATAGCGATCTCAAATCTAGCGGAAACTCGGGTTTTCATCCTACGGCGACAGCGGGTGCACGATGTGTGTATCATTCACAACGGTACGCTCCACGCACATGAATCACGAACACTGTTGTCAGTATAGATTCGCCCATTATGAGTTTCGTTATTTCACCACCGCCATAGAAAGAAAATGCTCGCGTTCGTCAACCGTCCGCGTTTCACGCGTTTTGCACACGTTCCCTTCACCCTCGATTTTTCACCCGATTCGCTGGTCCGGAATGTAAAGGAAGAGAAAAAGAAGGGAAGAGAAAGGAGAGAGAGAGAGAGAGAGAGAGAGAGAGAGAGAGAGAGA